GAAGTAAAGTGATGTAGGCGTCTGAAGCCCCTGGCTTCTCATCTTGGATCTGCCACCTGTTACCAGTGTGTCGTAGGTGAGTTTCTTCTTCTGAAAAATAAAAGTTCATAGGTATAGATTATAATTTTCGGCCTTACAGTGTATGAGTTCCTACCACGTCTTTGATCCCATTACCTCAGTTCTAAGCCTGACTCACTGTTGAGCCCTGGGCCAGTGCTGAGCAAGCGCTGCATTTCTAAACTATAGGTGATTGTTCTTTCTTAAAAATGGCAGCATTTAAGAGCATTGATTTGATTACCTCTAGTTGAAATTTGTGGACTAAATCTGCCATCAGAGCTCACGAAGGTGAGTAAATGACATTGGCATATGGGAGGACTTGAGGAAGGTCTGTTTCTTCTTCTAATTCAATCAGGTTCTGTTCTTTCTTCTAATTCAATTAGGGCTACCCTGGCTTATCTAGACCATTTGGCCTGAGCCCCAAACCTTATAGGAGAAGTTCTGAGAATGAAGTGGGAAAGATTTGGAGAAAGATTCACCAGATACAGCAGCATACCGTAGTTCTCCACCTCCCAGCCCTGTCTTGTCTAGGTATTAGTTCTTAATAGCTGAGCTATAAATGTTTGGTTCCAGATGTAAAATACTGGGCAATGTATTTTCTTCCAATAGAGTGGATATGGATATTTCTACATGTGCAATATACTTACCATAGTCGGAGTTTCCAATTTTTGTGCTAAATCATTAGAGTACTTAAACCACACCATAGTTTGTTCCATTGTACCATAAATCGGTGGATTTCCTTTTTTGTATAAAAAAGCCTGCTATATACTGTGTTAAAGGTCAGAAATAACTTTCTACATGAATTTGACAATCTGTTTAGGCTATTCTAGTCTCTGCCACATCTGGCAGAATTTGAACATTATCTAATGTTTTTCTGATAAGAACAGATACTACACTTGAGCTTAGCCAAATGGCCGAGAAGTGATATTATCTAATGTTTTTCTAATGAAAATCTTGAGTTTTTAATTTAAATTTGCATGTCGAATATGTCTCAAATTAGAGAACTACTTGTCTGTTTCAGCTTCAATTTGCTGAACAGATGAATAATTTGAGAGCCAACAGTGCTATAGGTCTCTTTAGTGGGGAGCAGTTAAAATTAAATTAGTGGAAAATTAAAAGTAACATTTGAAAATGACATGAGGACTAATTTGCTCATATGTATGTGAATCCATTTCAGTTGCTTCTTAATGGGGGAGGGGGAGCATGCAGAATGTAACAGAGTCATTAGAGTTTCTAGAATATATTGTTAGAGAATACATCTTTACAATTTTACACATAATGTTGTATAGCCTTTCTTCTACTTTTTCTCTGTTCAGTACCTTTAATGTTTATATGCGCTTATTCTGATTCTGATGTCTGTGAAGTGATAGTGCCTCAATTCTCATAGGGCATGATCAATTGGAAAATAAGACTTTCTGAATATGTTTATAGAATTTTCCTTTTAAACTCCGACTAGTTCTTTAACTCTGTAGATAATTGAACCTAATCATTATTACCTTTTTAGCACTAGAGTCAGTTATAGAGGATTTCTCCTTGTTCAAATCAAATCTAGTTTGACTTTTTACTTACATTGAGGAAACCTTCACACTTGCCTTGTTTTCAGCTGGTAAGACCAGAGGTTTTGTGGTGCTGTGTGGTATTCAACAGAATGAATCAGAGTTTAAAGCCTTACACAGCATTAATGATATAAAACACAATTCCTTCCTGTCTTCCGAGAACCTCCAGAAAAAAAACCTTTGAGAACCAATGGCCAAGTCATTTCATGATGGACTATCAGTTTATAATAAATTTTTATGGAAATTTATAGGCTCTCGGCCACTCCTGATGTTTTCCCATCAGAATTCAGCTTGAAAAGGACATCATCATGGCAAAGTCAATAGCTTTTGTATGGCAGGATTGTTAAATCTACTGAAACTTAATAGTGTTTGGGGAACACAAAAATTCTTAATATCTGAATATGATCATTTGAGTGGCATATGTTAATACAGACCATTTTAATTCAACATATACTCCCACTCACATACTCTCTTTCTCCTTCTAACCGCCCCCATATAAAACTTCAACTGTGGGATTTGGGAGTGGGAGGGGAAAGTCATAGGTGAAGACAGCTGGATCATGGGTTTGTCCTTTGTGACTTTGTATTTTCATTCTTTTGCTATTGAGGAAAGATGAAGCAGGCACATTTCAAAAGAGCAGCTGACACTCCCCGTACAAAGTCAGTAATTACATCAGTCGCTCTAATTCCTTGGAGTTTGTCGCTCTTCTTTTACATGTACATGGCAGAGGTCCAGTTTGTAGGAGTGGGTAAGAAGTGGGTGAACACAGATTGGAAACATGCCAACTGTACATTCGAACGCGGGCTCTTACCCTGGTTCCCCAACCCTTTCATTGCTCCATGAGCTGTGTTAGCCAGTAGATCCTTATTTGATTGAAGAAGTCTATCTTTAACCTCATACAACTGGGTTATGTTGTGAACAGCAAAAACCATATTGTCTTTAAACTTGACTGCTGTTTAGTACAGGCCTGTGTACTGCAGTGTCTGGAGAGTTCACAGTGCATTTTGGGATTGTGGGGAAGGAAATGGCTGTAGAAATCTTGTTGGTGATGCACTGCTACTGCCTGGAAAGGCAAACCTAGGTGATTTTTTTTAAGCTTGTGTTTAATTTGTTTGGTGAATACTATATGTTTCCTTTATATGTATGAAAACCTAAACCTGGAAAAAGATTTTTACTGGCTCTGTAGGTGGGGAATATCATTTGGTCTTTTGAAATGTAAAAATTGAAGGTTTTGTTTCATTTTTGTTTGGTTGGCTTTTGGGGTCCATAGAGAAGACTTTTGAGTCATAAAAGGGCTTAGATAAAACTTTTTCAAATTCTTTACAATGATTCAGCTGTATTCTGATATTTGGAATGAGATGGGAGACTGTCCAGCGTCGATACAATATACACTAAAGAGCAACTGGTCACGGGTACTCCTGTCAGAATCATTTGAATTATTTGATTATTTCACGTGGCCTGTCACATGAAGAAAATTAAAGGAAGTTGGGTACTGGGTGCCAACAAGAATCTCTTCATTTGGGAGGTGTTTGGGGGCATACGGAAATGCATCAAACCTTCCATTTTCTGATAATCTGTCACTCTGCTGTTGAGAGATTGGAGTCTTCTCACGGGATCAGTTGTTTTCTGTCGGTGTTTGGCAAAGTGCAGCGTGAGCTCCAGTAGCATTTTGTTTCTGATGTAATTAGTGAATCATGAAATCAGAAAAAGGGGTTGTGACTAATTTTTCTTTTCTATAATGAAATAGCATAGCATAAAACACACTTTTGCTACTGGTTCTGCAAACACACAGCCTTGGCATTACCTCGGAGCTTATTAGAATGATGGAGTCTCAGGTCCCACCCTGTTACCCTGTTAGAATATGCATGAATCTTCACTGTAACTAAATCCCAATATGAATGTTTGCAAAGCATTGAGATAGAAAATAGTAAAATTGATTACAAACAAAAAACACATTCATTAAATTATTGTTTCAATTTGTGTTACTTCAATTTGTGTGGTTCATGTACACACCAGCTTGTACCTTAACATATATTTCTATGGGTCATAGTCAAAAAATATTTGAAACCCACTGTTTTAAATGTGAATGATGACACCTTATCTCTGGTTGTGGTCTTACCATTAACCATGAAAGAGAGTTCCTTGCTTTGCATTAGTACCATCTGTAAAGTTTCTTTCTTTTCTTTTTTCAGTATCTCAGTCCTTCCAGCTTACTCTTCTGTTTAACATCTCTTACTATTCTGTTCCCTTCTTCCTATCTTCTGTGCTGCAGTCCTCAGAATTGTACGAAGTGTTGTGAAAACATCCTCAAGTTTCATTTTATGGTCAAATATACTGAATTCCCTGGGAGATTAATACTAATTAGTAAGATTTTTTTTTAACACTCCTAGCACCAAAGTTAAAAGAAGGAATATCCAAGTTTTGCCAGCGTGCTTTCCTTCTCGATTTGTTATGTCTTCCTTCCAAATGTCAGATGCTACAGCCACATTTTGCTCTGGATATAATTAAATCAGCCAGTCTTCTTTGTGTGCAAATATGCATAGCATATCTTAAGCACTGTGAACAGAGTATTAAGAAGAATTATGTATAATATTGAAGTCTGACTTTGTATCCCCAGTTGTATTTAAAACGAGCAATTGTGGCTTTAATTAATTGATTCCAACCTAGCCCTATGCAGGCCAGGTAGAGGAAGCTAATCTCTTGTACCACTCTTAAGAGAAATGCCAGTTTCCTGGAATGTGGCCCTAAATGAAAATAAATCATACTACTTGTATTTAGTGTTTGTTCCTTTGGCCAGCAATATGCAGTTCAACTTACTGGAAATTAGCAGCTTAAAAATATGTGCTTCCTTTCTATGGCTCTGAGACTGCAACCGGTGAACAGCAGACAATGCTTATCGAATTTTCATATTGAGTTATCTTTAGCTAGTTTTATTTTTATTTTTTATTTTTTGCAAGGGCAAACTTATATTTATAGAAACAATCTTTAGCTAGTTTTAAACATTTCGTGTCATACAACCACACATCTGTTGCTACCGATCCCAGTCTTTTCTCCATCTGATTATTCCATGTAACTTGTACTTTGTTTTAAAGAGCCTCAGAAGTGAAATTTATTTTATTTTACCGTAGGAACCCTGCAGGGGTACTCCAGAAAAGGGGGAGAAATAGAACACTTTGAAATATCCAACCCTATGAAAATGAAGGGACTTGTTACTACCCATCATTTTTATTGGTTATACAGACTCAGTATCGACAGCAGAATTACACATGATTACTCATTTTTTTAGTTATTTTATCCATACTCTATTACAGTATGATACATGTATTTGTTAATGTTAAATGAGTTTTCCTCTAATTTTTTGTGCATTTTCCCCCCTTTTCCATGAAGGCCTTATCTGTTTGGAGCGGGGTGTTTTTCCATAAAAGCTCCATGGTGAGTCCCAGTTCAGTCCCGCATGCCTAATTCATTTGTTGTACTCAGAAAATAACTGTTTTGTACTGTTGTTTTCAGTTGCATGGCCTGATCACAGATAGATGCACCAAATTACTGAATAATTTCTAGATGGGACATGAATATTGCTATTTAAGCTTTAAAAGAGCAGTTTTCTTGGTTTAACTTCATTTCTTGAAAAGTCAAATTAAGGAAAACAGATTAATATTAAAGAGAAAGAAATTAGAAGAGTTCTCTCATAATGCTAGTGTATATTATAAGACATGGCTAACACCCAAGTTTAAGGCCTTGAGTATTATAGTAATAGAAGCTCCCTATACATGTCATGCTGAACATTGGACATAATTTATTTTGAAATATAAATATATTTTAAGGTATGCTAAAAATACCCTATAAATTTTTACTGCATTTTATTTGGTACCAAAGGAACAAAAGTCACTTCTGTTTTGAATAATTTCGGTGTTTCAGGAGCTATAAGATGAGGAAATTTGTGTTTCACATAAAAACTACTAAATAATTTATTATTTTGAGTTACTAGCACCAACTCACCATACTCAACATATTTATTTTGGAAAATCCTTACATAACAATGCATAAAATACAACTTTGTCCGATGAGACATGATGAACTTTGAAAAGAAACTATATTTAATACTTTTATATAAAGATGTAAAATAGAATGGATTTAGAACTATGTTTAACATAATGGTTAAGTGTTAGGGCTCCAATCAGACTTCCTAGGTCTTAAATACCAGCTCAGGCACTTCCTACCTATATAATCTTGGGTGATTATCTAAAACCTTTCTGTTTCTTGGTTTCCCTATCTGTTAAATGGACTTACCCATTTAACACCCACCTCATAGGTTCATTGTGAGGATTAAATGAACTGACAAATATAAATTGCTTAGAACAGTGTCTGGTGCATAAGAGCTCAATAAATGTTAACTGCTGCTATCACTATTTCCTTTCTTATTTAAGGGAAAAAAAGACCAGTTTTGAAAAGATGCTTTTTAAAATTAGATCATGGTTTTTTGTTTTTGTTTTGTTTTTGTTTTTTGCTTTTAAGAGTAAGTGAGCCAAAAGGAAGTTTAGAGCAATGTAAGTTATGTCAATTTTATAAATTTAGTCAGAATACTTAAAAGAGTTCTGCACATATATGTGTAGTTCTCATAAAGGCTACTGTGAATTGTTCATACTTTCTAATTCTTCCTTGAAATGCAGCATCTAAATTAGGACACAGGTTGTGAAACTATTTTAAACAAATTCAAGGTATAAATGAATAAAAATTCCATGAAAGTCATCTTTATTCTTTTTGTTGACTAGGTTCCTTTAAAAAAAAATAAGATACATGAATCTTACTTAGGCGCTTATAGGGAGCAGTCAGTTTTTAAATGCCAGATCAACATATGATAAAATTTCTTTGTAGACTAAACTTAGAATTAAATTCCATCTTAGGATAAATGTCTCATTCTAAGTACAAAGAAAAGAGTTTGAGCATGTTAATAAAGATTGAAGTTTTAGCATAGAAGTAAAGATGGAGTAACAAATGTTGTATGTTAAGTAAGAAAAGTCCATTCCTTCAACAGCTTATGTGCTCCTCAAATTTAAGCAAAAGCACTTGTCAACCAGAAATGATTTGAGGTTGAAACAAGATTAAAAGAGCCAGATTAAAGAAAGGGATATATGAAATATAGTAGACTTTTAAATCATTGCCTGTCTTTTAGAAGACTGCTTTGTGGTTTGTTTGATGCCATCGTTAGCTCACAAGAAACTCGTTTTTAGTCACTTATGCTAGCCTAAAAGATCCTCCTTTAAAATATGTTCCTTTACTAGTGGTGCATGTTTTTCCCATTAAGATCTTAATGAAACCTCAAATTAAGGCAGCAAAATGAATATAAATTTGACAACTTCTTCCATGTTGTTTATAAGAGCTTCTTTGTTTGAGCAGTTTTTGCTATTTTTCCATGATACGTAGCATTGAACTTGAGAATGTTTTTACTATTCTGAAATAAAACCTTATGCTAAATAAATATGTTTATAGTACTTTCAGTTGTAGGGTAATATTTGTATTTTGGGAGAATATGAAGATTTTACAGTTCCTCTTAAAACGCTATAGAAATTTCATACAAAATTTGTATTACTTTCACGTTGCAACATTCAGCTAAGATTTTGCTTTTGATCACAATTTCTACTAATTCTTCATTCTTTGGTAAACTGGTTTAATTGTTTAAATTCATGCAGTTTCTGATGAGTCAGTTTAAAATAATGTCTTTCCCTTTGATAACAAAATAAGCTTGTTGGAAAGTTAACTATGCAGGCTGTCCTCGACATTTTAGCTCCTTTATACATTCCAGGGATTATGTATCCTCCAGGATATTTGAGTTGGAATGACTATAAAGTCAAAGAATCACACATATGATACACTTTTTTAATACAGAAATTTAAGAGAAATAACCATTGTGAATTTTTAAAAATGAATTTTGCTTTCAGTATTACAAATGAGGAACAAGTATTTATTGAGCTCCTAATGTGCATGTAGTATTGTGTTTAAGCTGTTATTTTTGAACTGCTAATCAAAAGAAAAAAATATATACATAACAGTGTGGGCAAAAGTCCATAATGTTAAAGAGGAATTAAAACTTACATATTAAATTATACTTAAAGTTTTAATTAGCACTGTCTGAGAGTATTTGATCTATATATAAATAGTTCATTTTAACTAATGTTCTTTTGAGGATGTTGGAAGATTTTATAATTTCATTTTTGGAAGGTAAGATTTATATGGATACTACACTTGATCTTAGCCAAAAGGCTGAGAAGTGATTGTAAGATTTATATGGAGAGGAGAATCTTCTCTTATTTGCAAAGTTTATGAAAATTTGTTAAACCTTTAAGAGCAATTTGTGATAGAATAATTTTAGATAGATTATTATCTTTAAAATAAAATACTTTGTTTCCCATCTTAGCTCTTACTTTAGAAAAATAAAGTTGAAAGTGAGAGAAAACTTCTAAATTTCTTTTAAAAGTTTAATTTAATCACAATGAGGAATATAAAGAAAATTATTTCTTTAACACAGAGACATTACACCACTTGTAATTCTTACATCAATGTTGTATCTAGCATTTAAACTGAAATATTATTGACTATACCCTTATGTTTTAGAAAAGGAAAGAAACGGTGCTTCTATCTCAATTTAGCTCATTTCATGCTTGTGTCCTAAACAAGGCATCGGACCTCATTGCTGCCTTTCATGCCGTCCACAGATAAACCACTTTCTACCCTATTCTGTAGGACATAGTAAAATTATCCAGATGGGCATCATTTTTTTGTAATTTTAAAGCAGATATCATTAGAGTTTTGCTTTTTTTTCTTTTCCTTTGCAGTAGAGTGTGGAGAGGAAAAAAAAGCAGTCAAGAGAAATTCAATATGTTAATCTGAGTGGATTACATAACACAGTAAAAGCCAATGGGTAACTTCAGTAGTCTTTATAAATAATTTTAAACGTATTGTAATGTTAATGTCCCCAGAACTTCTGAAGGCAGTAAAAATGATTCTTATTCTATGGTAAGATGGTTAAGTCTCCCAGAAAAAATGACAGAAAGTTCAATTGCTGAGTTTTCATTTAGCACCTTATTTGTTCATTTTGGGTTTTTTGTTTTTGTTTTTGTTTATGTCTTTGTATGTGTATCTTCCTTTTATGTTATCTTATGTCAAGTTTAGTAACTATGATGTTTTATGATCATTGTTTTGCCTGATATGGTGAAAGTTGAATTCATTCCATTTTTCTTTTACGTTTTATTCACAAGTTAAACCAAATATTTCTTTTTATTTTTTAATATGGGGTCATTTTTGATGGGCTCAGGAGAGTAAAGAGCAGCAGTTCTCAGTAGGAAGGAGTCCATCATTACTATCAGTATGTTTTGTTCTCATTTATAATCATAACACAATTGAATTTCTGGACACCCATATACACTGAAATTTTTTATATCATATTATTAATGTAATCAATTAATAAATAAATGAAAGAAGGCCTCCAAACATCCAGAGGTATTCATATTAAACTTGCTAATTTTTTTGATGGGACTTGTTAAGTCCCTTTCAGAGGATAAAGAGAGTTATTGAAAGGAAGAAAGAAAACAAAAAAAAAAGGGATAGCATTAGAACACTTTCCTAAAATGGTTGGATCACCAATCTATAAGTGAACACGATTTACAAGCCTAGCTCTTTTTACTTCTATTCCTTTCACATATACATATCATTTTTCAGTGTTTTTCTGCCAACAAAGGTTATTTTGCAATAGAGATATTATGGGTCATTGTGGAAAAATTAAATTCTGCTTCTACCCATCATTCCTGTTCTTGGTCTTTTTAAAACAAGATGAAGGGCAAATTCAGTCAAAGTCAAATTTCTTCCATTGGGGTATATTACACAGAAAAAACTTTATTAATAGTAATCTTTAGATTATTTCTCCTTTTTATTTTTCTGAAAGTCTATATACACACACGCATGTATTTTTTTTTTTTAGCTGAGCCATCCTGCCACCTGTTGGCAGCTCAGTGGCTGCTCAGCTCCGGCCGGGACTTGAACCGCTGTTGCTCAGAGCTCAAACTCTTGAGCGAGCTCTTAACCAACTGAGCCACTCAGCCAGCCCCACACGCATGTATTTTTATGTTGTTTTGCTTAAATATCATAGTCATTTCAAATGTAGACTGATAATAGAAATAACTTCTTATGAATATGTTCACCACATCTGCCCCATACCCAGCACATAGCACTGTGCCACGTAGGTGGTAGCAATTTATTTTTAGGAATGAAAACTCTTGATTACTTATTAAACATGAACTTTTACTAATGTGATTTATCAAGGCCCTATCAGAGGCAAAAGAAGAAATAAGGCAGTATAAAAATAAAATAAATCATTCTTTACATCATTTTAAGCATACTTTTACCATAAGATACTTATTCTCTGCAGGGGACAATGAGTTTATGTAAAATGATACTGTATTGATGCTTTTTAGTTTTATGTTCAGAAGCTGAGTTATATGCAACATTAAAGAAGTGTAAGAGATTTTAACTTTTGACATTGGCTGATTAAACTGTAAGCTAGTAAACACGCAGACTATATTTTTATGGCCAAAGAGCAAATTGATGTCCTATCATATTTCTACTCGTTATTGTTTTGTTATAAAGGTAGCCATCTCACCCAGTAGCAACTATTTTTAACGGTATTGGTTGCATCCCTTAGATGCACCATAGTCTCTCTTAAGAAGTGGCATGCTTACTTGTTTTCTATCTTGTTGCTCAATGCATGATTTAAGAAACAAAAACAAAAATAGCATTCAGTAATTTGCAAAGAGCTTTGAATTTGTCCTTATGAAGCTTATTTGTACATTGTAGTCCTGTTGTTCACTGATGGTGATTCTAGTAAAAACACTTAGTCACACAGTTGGAAACACCTTTTAAAAAATTCTGGAATGGTTATTTCTCTCTCCTCCTCCATCCAACGTCCCAAAACTCCTAAGTGTTACAAATGACCAATGAAACTTAAAAGATGCTAGTTACAGGAACTTAACAGCGCAATGATAGTAGTTCAGTGATGGAAATAAAGGCTAAAGGAGAGTTTCTGTTCTAAGGTAGTACAACAGAGAGCAAACAGTTCTGACCCCGGTTCCCTGGATACCAAGGGATGGTGCGTGTTTGTTCAGGCACTATCACGTGGATGGTACTCTTCTCTTCTGTTGGTAGGTTATTGCACTTGTGGCAAATGTAACAAGGAAGACGTGAAGCTGTTCGTAGAACCAGATTCATTGCCTCACAGAAACTTTTATAAAACTATGTCTTTATTTCCTGTTAGTGTAGAAGTCTAACTGTGACTGGTGTTGGTATTTGAGGCATAGATGTGATCTTTATGTATAATGATATAAAGTGTTTAAGAAATGTTAATGATGGAAAGAGATCTTTTCATATACGGCAATGTGCATTGCCGTGGATTTGGTACAAAGGGAGAGACCCCAAAAAACCAGTAACAGTGGCCTCTGATCCAGACTTACTGTTTCCCTAGCAGGAAGATGTCAAAACAGAAGATTTGGGAAATATGTGAGTGACTATTTCAAGTGTCATAAGGACCTGGAAACTGGGATCACTAAGGCAAAGATTAATTTTTAAAACATTCGGTGTGCTATGTAGAAGAGAGTTAACATTGTTGAGTACTATGATATGGGAAGGCACTGCCTTTAGAGCTTTATGTGCTTTACCTGATCCAGTGGTTCTTGAACCTGAGCACACACCAGAATCTCCTAGAAGACTCCTTAAAAAACCCCCACAAATTGTTAGGCCCAACCCCCAGTTTTCTGATTCAGTAGGTGTGGGGTGTGGCCTGATGAATATTTGCATGTTACAAAATTCCCAGGTGGAACTACTAGTCAGGGACCACACCTGGAGAACAAATTTAATAACCCTTAAAATAACCCTGTGAGGTAGGCATTACTATTTTTTATTTTGCATATGAGTAGTCTGTGCCCTGAGAGGTTAAATAAATTAACTGAAAGTCACACAGCTATTAAGTGGTAGAATTGGGATTCAGATTCAGATTTCTTCCCGATTCCAAAAACCAATCTTTCTCCATCCAACCATACTTTATTAAAAGATAAAGAGATAAAGGATAGTGAGCAAAAAAGGTAGAAATGTTACTTGATGTTGGAGACTGACTAGCAAAGTAGGAACACCCAAGCTCTGTTATTCTTGTGCCCCAGCTGGGCTGTGAACTTGACCGGTGTACAGTGAGGTTATTTTCTGGCCTATGAATTAGAGAAAATATTACCACCGTGTATCTAAAGTGGTTGGCAGAATTGCTCATGAGCTTTGGGGTAGCCTTTGACAAATCAAAAAAGAAGAGAAATATAGGATTTAAAAAAAGGAAAAGTTTGATATTAGAAGTTGATGGTATGAAAACTGATGTGGGGAAAACAAAGAGGAAAGCAAGTGTTTTTTTTTAATTTTTTATAGCAAGTGCTTTTTAATGGTAGTTATGTGAAGCAGCAGCAGTTATTTAATGTGTCCTCAAACATATGAGAAACAGAACAAAAATAGACACATCCTTTTCACAAACCCATGAAAAGAAAAGTAAATGGATTGGAAGATCAGTGAATATAGTTGCGTTACATGATTAGATCGCCTTCTCAGACATTGTCTAACTCTACATATCATTGTGGCTGAGAGCATTTTCAGGGTTTCATTCTGTATTATCTCATTATTTTCATTCATGCTGTCTTCATTCAACTGTATTGTCAGTCCTGCATCTTTTATATCAAAATGGTAAACTATTTTATTATTGTGAGACGTTCCTGCTGGCTTTATTGTTCCCCTCTGAAATCTCCAGGGAAATGTTATCCATTTGAAAAGAAGTGACTTGGATTCCACCAGCACCTACTTCAAAAAGGAATTAATTTTTATTGGTCTTATCAGTTGCTATTCTGATAATGCTCTGAAACTTTGAACTAATTTTACTTTTACTGCAGAACACACTCTCACACCACCAATTACTACTTAAGGCAAAATGCATGTCCACACTGTTGGAATACTTATGGGTAGAATTTTAAGGAAAATGTATCATTATCTTAAGGGCTGTGAGTTCATCATGGTAATTTTTTTTACTATCATTTTATTTTTTAAGCAAAGTTAAACCACCTCCACAAATTTCACCCAGCAAATCGATGGGAGGAGAATTTTGCGTGGCTGCAACGTTTGGGACATCCAGATCGTGGTTTGCAAATAATGCAGGTCTGAAAAGAGAAAAAGGTATGTAGTTTTACTGAGGCCTAAACTTGCCATTTGTAGTTTTTGTTTCTTGAGGAAAATTCGTAGCAGTTCTCCTTGAATATTCTTGAACCTAGTATTCTAGAAACCAATTTTTCCATTCACTTAGCATGTCTCTCAACTACTCAAGCTTAGACAGGAAGAAAGGCTATCCACTTATATAAATGTTAAATAAATTTCCCATTGAGTGTTTTTATTTTGTTTTGTTGGTAACAATCTACAGGTGTTCTCAACACTGTCACCTCCATGCCATTATATGTAGCTTTTACATTTATGACAAGCTGACATCATGCCTTTGTCTCTGAGAGATAGAGAGGAAAACCTTGTTATCCCTATTTTAGAGATGAAGAATTTGAGATTAATGGTTTAAAGAACTTAGCTAAACGCAGTAGTTAGTAAGTAATGGTTTCAGAGTTTGAACCCAGGTTTTCTAGTGCTAAATCTTTTTATTTATTTATTTTTTTAAGATTTTTATTGGGGAATTGGGGGACGGGGAACAGACAAGTTGCTGTCCTTTTATTCTTCAGTCTAATTGTGGAGGACGTTGTTTCACTGGCCCAAGTTGGCACCATCATTGCGCTCTTCTCCGGTGAGGCAGGTCAGTCGACGACTTCTGGACAGCCGCTCACTGCGGCTGCTGGGCCATTCATGCTGGCTGCTGGCCACACACGGTAGCCCATGGCAACCCACTGCAGCAGGGGCTGCCGCCTACGCCGTCGCTGGCGACTCACTGGCAGCCCAGCTCCAGGTCGAGCTGTTGTTCAGCATCTTAGCTGTAGAGGGCAGTGTCACTGGCCCTCATATGTGGGATCCGAACCAGTGCCCTCTGGCATCCCAAGCCAGCTCTTAACCAACACGCCACTCGGCCGGCCCTCTAGTGCTAAATCTTGACTTTAAAAAAACCCCAACAACAACAACCCTGTCATACTATAAATTAAAAGATAAAAACAGGCTCCCCCTCAGAAATAAGGGTCCTCTTTAATGGTAAAAGATGCTCCTTTGAGTTTATATAGTTGTTTTTTTTCCCTTAAATCCCTGCTTTGATTACCAGGATTAATACCTAAACTGTTCATATAATTACTGTTTAGTACGTGATTGCTTATTGTTTCTGTAGAAGAGAATGCCTGCATTCATGGACCAAGCACTTCCTTTTGAATAAGATTCTCCCCTTATTTTAGCACTATTAAAGTAGGTCACAAACCGAGTTGTTCTCGAGGCACTTCTTTGAAGAGTTCCACAGGCTGTATTGTTCTTGGCAAAATGGTTCTCCTTTACGCTTAATCCTGGCAGTCAGACATCAGCCCTTTCCCCGTTATCGACTTTCAGTGACCCTTTCCTTGGAAATAGGATCTCAGGCACAGCAGGTTCCTTACCTAAGTGGGAGAGGATACAGTAAAGCATGCAAGCCTTCCATTTTCTTATCCCATCTTTATTTTTTTGTTACCTCCCTAGCTTTAACGATGCTATCGAAATGACTTTTTGTTGCTCGTTAAAACCCTCTGTGAAGCTCGATTTCACATGCTTCTCCCTTCTGTTCTAATTACCCTTTTAACTTGCTACTCCTTTATGTCCCACTGACTGGTCATTAGCCATTTTCTCCAATCAGCTGTAATTGATTCCTCTGGCATAGAGATAAGGTGACCCACCCAGCATTCATGAGTGATTTTCTATGCTCCTAGGTTTACTGTAAAACCCGAGATAGAGGACTAAACCTGTTTTGGTAGTGAGGACATGTGTACTCCGTAGAAAGTCATTTGATTAGATCCATATTCAGCACCTGACCTCAAAGTATGACTGGTCTTCATTTACCATGGGGGCCAGTGTTCCCATTGAGAGGAAAGAAGGAAGAGGTTTGGGGGAGGAAGGATGTATGTGTTGCTCATGTTTGTTTGAATCCAGAAATTTAAAAGAGAACACTTTCCGAGAGAAAGTAGATGGGACGTTAGGCTGATCCAAGCATACAAAGAGCCTCTCATGCACTTGAGTTGGTAACTAAATCTTAATATATACAGTGTTCCTTTTCAGTCAGGCCTTCCCTGTCCCACCAGATATCATTCATTTTTCATAATGTGGGACAAATTACATGGCCGACAAATACAAAAGACTGGGAAATATTGTTGCGCCATGTTAGCATTTCGGATATTTCCATCGTTCTTAAAATACATAGCTTAATACCTAAAAATATTTTGACAGCATAGAGATTTTCATATTCATGAGCAGAAACTCAGAAGAGGCAACATTTAGGCAAGGAGCAGGCCCCACATGACAAAATTTCTGCCGCTTATTTTCTCTCCGTCGCCTCAGGCACAGGCTGCAGTGTCATTCATTCACTTGTAAAAATTGTACTGTGCTCCTTTTCTGCCATTATCACATATCCGTGTACTATTTCTGTTTGTAGATCAGTCCAAACAAGTCGTGGTTGAATCTCTCTACATTATTAGCTGCTATGGGACCGTTGTGGAGCACATGATGGAGCCAAGGCCGCTCAGTTCTGCCCCCAAGATTAGCGATGACACCCCACTGGAAATGATGACCTCACCTCGAGCCAGCTGGACTCTGGTTAGGTAGTACCCCCTTTCATTTTTTTTTTTAAACAGCTTTATTGAGGTGTAAAATATTACAGGTTTACAATTTGATAAGGTTTGACATAGGTATACAGCTGTGGAAACCAACACCATAATTAACATTATAAATGTATCCGTCGCCTCCAAATGTTGTCTCGTGCCTCTTTTGATATCTCTCCTTCCTGCCCTTCTTTATCCCTATCTCATGCACAGAGCCTCCAGGCAACTGCTGGTCTGCTCTCTCTTCCTGATTGACTTATGTTTTCCAGAATTATGTATAAATGGAATCATGGAGTGTGTACTCTTTTTCTGTCTTGCAACTTTCACCCAGCAAAATTACTTTGATTTATCCCCATTGTTGCATGTATTGATAGTTGATTCCTTTTTAAAATGAGACATAATTTACATATAATACAGTTCACCCATTTAAAGTGAAGTTTCACTAGGCTGGGCACCCATCACTACAGTCAGTTTTCATCATCCCCAAAAGAAACGCCACGCCTGTTAGCGGTCAGTCTCCATTTCCCCTCAACCGCTCAGCCCTAGGCAACCACCAGTTTACTTTCTAGCTCTAGATTTGCCTTTCAGGACATTTCATGTAAATGGGATCATATAAAATGTGACCATTTAGCCCTGACTTCTTTCACTTAACATAATGTTTTCAAGCTCCATCCATGTTGTGGCATATATCAGAACTTCATTCCTTTTTATGGCCAAATAATATTCCATTGCATGGCTAGACCATATTTTGTTTATCCATCCATCAGTTGACAGACATGTCTATATTTTAGCTGTCGTGAATTATGCTGCTAAGAACATTCATGTACGAATTTTTGTGTGGTCATATATTTTCGGTTGTCTTTGGTATTTGCCTTTGAGAACACCTCCTTTTGAACTCCTTTCTCCTTGCATCTTTGTGTAACCTTTTCTAGGATTTGGGGGTTTGTTTTGTTTTGTTTTGTTTTTTTAATCACACATTGAGCTTTAATGTTTCCCCTATTTCTAGTCTCATGCTCACTGAAAGTAGAAAGTACATTGAGACAGCCATTAAGGGGAACGGAAACTAATATAGATTAGAAGGTTTTCTTTAAAAGTGATTCCTGAACATACAATGGTTAAACACTGTAGAAAAGTTTGTCAAGAATCAGAGTCCTTCTCAAAAGTACAGAATCATTAGAGTCTTTACAAGCCAGTATAAAGATCGAGAAATAAAAATCTAGATGAAAGCCTGTTCAAATAGTGTACAGTGATCCAGGAGAGACAGAAAAAATTGGCCCTGACACGTATGGAAGGAAACAGACAAAGATAGATATAAAAATGATCCCTCTCCTTCTGACATTTTAAAATATTCTTATATTGATTTTTGAAGGCTCCAGCATTCTTTACTACTATTTTACCTGGATTAATCTGATTAATATCTTATTTATCAAGCTATTTATAAGCAGGCACATCTCATTAAAATCACTGCCCCACCATGGTTGAAATAAGTGTCTTATTTTGGAACTCAGATGCTAATTAGGTTGTAATAAGTCAATCATTCACATTATTGTGTTGTGTTTTTTTTTTCAACCAATTCTACCTGCTTTATTCAATTTTAAAATACACACATTCTGTGATTAGAGACTCCAATCATTGTCCCAAACTCGGTAAAATTAGAACTTAGTTGTCACATTTGGATTCCACACTTTCTCTCTGTCTAATAGTATGAACATCTTGTCTATCCTATTGGAGGGTCTTCTGCTTTAAACTACTATTGGCTCTCTGTACTTTGTATGACTCCCTGCCACCTTTTTACTCTTTTGAAGCAGATGGCCTTGTGTTTCAGGTTTCAGCACTCCAACAAGTTCATTTTAATGATTACAAAGATAGTGTGAGTTTATATCAATGTCTCTAAGTGGTGACAGTGATGGTGATTTACATCCCGTCTATTAAGCTTCAATATTCCTGTTCTTCTGCTGTTTCCTTAGAACTCCTCAGTGGAATGAATTGCAGCCGCCCTTCAATGCAAACCACCCTCTGCTCCTCGCTGCAGATGCTGTGCAGTACTATCAGTTCCTGCTTGCTGGCCGTGAGTAGTTCCTATTGCTTTTTTCCTTCCGTAGAGCAGTTGGAGACTTCTTAAAATGCTGGCTTTTCATGCCACCATGCATCGTCCGTAGGCCATAAACAGCCAGCCCGAGGCAAATGAAACATTCACTACAAGTGTAAACCACAAGCCTTCGTGAACACTAAGGCTGCCTCTGGCTGTTCACAGTCCCTGGCCATGACAGATGTGCCCTCCTACTCCCCGCAGTTATGTAAGTGGATAGGGACTATCTGGTGGGCTGGAAAGTATTTTTTAAAAAGATGATACTGGGATATAATAAACTGTCACAAAACTTGGTGTTTATTTCTGACATGAAAAAAAAATTAAGCTCTGTTCTTCACTGCGAAAACAGCATCAGCAGGATTTCCTCTTTGTGGAATTTTACTTGGCAATAATGAAGTAATGATTGCAACTTCATTGGGCTGTTGTTCGTTTACATTCATAGCTAAGCCCTCACATTTGTAGAGATTGATTCGAGTTCTTTTTTTTTTTTTTTTTTTACTTAAGGAGAAAATGTACATCGAGCTACAAACAAAACAGCCTTGTTCGTAAGGGAGGCATGAAAAGACAGTTTTAATATTTATTATCCAGTTTATGGTCATAGAATTAAAAATTCTTTACAATTATAATTCAATTTTGTAGAATTGACTGGATCCTTAATTTAGCCTGATGTGTCTGAGCAGCGCATATTTTTAAGAAACTTCCTAAAAAATCAACATTGACATGTTTTTAATGGAGTTTCATTGTATTGAACTTATTGTCTTTCTTGGCTTTATTATGCAGCACCAAGTAAAATATTTCTAAAACTAGTTTATGTTTATAATGTGTTATATATTATACTGAAACAGAGAAAATTTATTGACTTTGCTCTAAAGTTATGAAACTCCATAATTGTAACAAATAGTTGGCAGTTTTGCTCTCTTATACAATTGAACTCACTGATTCTTCCAACATGTATTATTGAGTGACGTCTATGTGCTGGGCACTTGTGATTTAAACGTGAATAGTAGGTAGCTTCTGTCCTCAGTGAATTGACTATCTATTTCTGGAAACAGGTGTTTAATGGAAAAGTAAAATAAAACAAAATGGGTGCATCAGTGAAGAATTGGGTTATACAGTAAAACCTTGGATTGCCAGTGACTTGGTTTGTGAGTGTTCCGCAAGATGAGCAAACATTTCGAATACATTTTAATGTGGTAAATGAACAATGTCTTGCAATATGAGTAGTTTGTTTCCAGAACGAATTATGCTTGCAAACCAAGGTATTACTGTATTATACGTTGAACTATGAGAGCAATGACTTAAGTTGCTAAAGTCTTTTAAAGTATGTAAGTGGTTTTGTGGTTCAAGAAGCCGAGTACATAAAAGTTGTTAGGTCCTACGTTATCTGCATATATTTAACTCTATCATATGAATTGGAAAAAAATGACATTTCAATAATGTCTAATTAAAATCATGAAAACATTTTCGCCTACCTCTCATCATGGGTGAAAATAACTAATTGTTAAATTGAGTATACTTGACTCTTTCAGAATTAATAATAGTTTATTTATTACTTCGATAGGTCTAAAGTAGACCAACAGTAGCAAGTACCAGATATGTAACCAAAAGATAAGGGCAAAACACAAATGCAACTTTCTCTATCCCTTTCATTTTTCTGTTCCAGCAAATTAAACTGCTTGACGTTACTTGATTTTAGCAGCTATAAACACCTTTGCCCAGAACTACAAAAATCCCCAGGTGCACGGTTAAAGAACTGCTCCGGTAGGTGGTAGCAAGCTGTCAGATGTTTTCAGGCATTGGAGTGACACCATAAGAACTGCATTTTAGAAGGATCACTCTGGAAGTGTTGTAATAGGTTCAGAGGAGGGGAGGGAAGGGGAGGGGAGGCTCTGTGATCCTGGCCAAGACATGAGAGAGCTTTAAAGAAAACTGTATCACAGAGAAGACAAGACAAACCTGTGAGATGGTGCAGAGTTGGAACAGAAAGGAATTAGAGACAATTTGAAAGAATGTAGTCACTGGTGATTCTATGGTTTCTGATTAAAATATGTATTGGGTTGTTGGAAAAGTCATGATGCATTTTTGCAACGAAAAACTTAGAAAAAAATATGTCATGACTTTTCTGACAACCCAATAATATAACGCATTTCATGTAACAATGGGATAGGATGAAAAGGCCTGGGTTCCCGTTCCAGACCATTTCCCTATAACTTGATAAATATAAAATATCAATAATAATACTTGCTTTTGTAAAGGTATTATGGTCAATGAGGTGATGCTAAAGTCCTTTAAAAACTGGAAAGCAGGAGCGGCTGGTTAGCTCAGTTGGTTAGAGCGCAGTGCTCATGACACCAAGGTTGCCGGTTTGATTTCCACATGGGCCACTGAGATGTGCCCTCCACAACTAGATTGAAACAACTACTTGACTTGGAGCTGATGTGTCCTGGAAAAACACACTATTCCCCAATAAAGCAAAAAAAGTTAAAAACACAAACTGTAAAACAGTATACTCGTATACATGTAAGCATCATTCTGTACCTTTGTTTCTTATCTCAAAAATGCATATTTTTAAGTAACAGACTTCAGGGACTTAATAATGAAATACCTGTTCTGGCTACCTGATTTTGTCCATGTTGTATCTGTTACTCCAGTGATAGGCCATAATTAATGTGCTTTTTCTTGTGAATGTTAGTATAGATATAATCCAATAGGTGAAAAAAATACCTAAGAGACAGGTAATTCTGTAATAATTATTGTATTGCTTCTTTACATTGAGAGTAGAGACAGAATTTGTCTGGATTTTAAAGTCACCTTTCCTTATATAAAGAAAGGCTATTTGATTGAGAATCCTGGACATGCCAGTTTATTACATAATTGAAGCATTTAAATATGCAAAACATGGACATCTGCATCAAAGGAGCAAAAGCCTCAAATACAATTGGTAAATGCAATGCTGGTTTAGAGACAATGCCTTTTCCTGCCCATCTGTTGAGCCCTTTATGCAAGTTAGAACCTCATTAAGACTTTCTTATGACCTTCTTGCGTTCTCTCCAGTTCCCCTTACTGAAGCCATTTGAAAAGATGTGACCTCTTAAAAGCAAAGGTATACCATATCTGATGCCAGGAAGTATTTAATTTACTTAACCATGTTGAAAAATCACCTCTGATTTCCTAACTTGAAGACTATTGATAAATATATTACTAAAAGTGTTTTCAAACACACCCATTTGGAGTAAAACTCTTAACGCAAACTTCACAACTGGTGCAAGCATTTTCTTTGGTTGTATTTGGATCTGCCGATCAAGTGAAGCAGACTTGTGCAAACTCCAGAAATTATAATAATAGTAGACAAAGAGTGATGTAAATGGAAATTGTAAAGAGACTTGGTCTCAGGGAGAAGAGAGTAGGAGAGCAGGATGTTTAGCAAGGAATCCTCACTCCCTTTCCAGCACTGTAATCATAATAAATACACTGTTCGTTGATAAACAGAGTTCTGCATATATGGCCAAAGGGTGACTGGTGGGGCAGGGAAACACTAAGAGCATTTTACCTAATCTTAAAAGTGAAGTAAGTCAAAACTCCAAATTTTGGATTCGTAACTGTAGTCACACTCCCTCCTTGTGTTTAACTGAATGGAATGATACAAAATGGAGGAATTCGGGTGTATCATTGAATCATACTACAATGCTCCTCACAGAGGACTTCTTTGTCATTAGGTTGAGCCATAGAAATTGCCATTTTGAGTATGTAAAAAACGTCAAATAGCAGCAAATTCATAACAGTTTGAGTAGATTGTGAATGTACAGATGGTAATCTAATCTTGCTATATAGCTCAGTAAAGGTAAAAGTCAAGAATCTAATATCAAAAAATGTTTTGCCTTGGTTGTAAGAAATCTTGGGAATAGTTTATAAAAATATTATAGCAGAGGAGATTAGTGATTTTATTTCCTTAAAAAATTTGTATAATATAATTACCTTTTCTAAAATAGGCATTTGATTTCAGTGTATTCCTTTGTCAAAAGCAAAGATAAACATTAGACGAAACTAACAAATATCAACCAGCTTTTAATATGATCGCATTGTAGACAGTAACTTTTTCGTTAGTCTGTTTCAGAGCTTCCCAAATTGTAAATTAAAAACAGGGCTTACTGCATTGACTTGGGGAAGTTTTATTTAGGGGAAAAATAATGTTTCCTCCTTTTCTTTCAGTTAATTGGGCAGCAGCAGTATTTTTCAGTTGCTGACATTAACTAGCTTTGTTTGGTGGAGGTCAGACTTTGAACTTCTTTCTAAAATAATCCATGGGTATGTGAGAAGTTCCTCCCTAAGCTAACTGAGTTTTCTTTGTTAAATAGTAACAAAAGACCATTCAACAGAAGTATAGCTTTGATGCACAACAGAAAGGTGACTGGGATCGGTAGAACCTTCCTGTGTTTTAGTTTTATTGGGAATATAATTGTTTTCCTCTACTTTTAAAGGCATTATAGGGAAGGTGGGGAGAGTCTTTGACACCAGATGGGAAGGTACGAAGAACATGAAAATGGTAAAACTGTATAAAATATGCTTCAAACAAATATGTTTCAATTGGATTTCAAATTTTGTATGTGTGTGTGTGTGTGTGTGTGTGTGTGTGTGTGTGTGTGTGTGTGTATGAAAGTTATGTGCTTTGGTTTCAGTGAGTATTTCTTGAGGTTCCCTTTCAGTAGTAGCTCCCCACCAACATGGAATCACAGGGTTCAGATTTACCATCTTACCTCAAACAACAACAAAGAACAGAATATAGAAAACAACTGTTTTCAAGTCACTGGACATCAGGGGATAAAGCACAGTGATCCTTGAGAGATGGAAAATAGCGAGGCGAACCCTATGATTGCCTCAGTTTATTGCCTTGGAAGATTTTTCTAGACTGTGTTGCAGTGATGGGGAATCCAAGTGGAATACAGAGTAGACAGCACTCAGAGTCCAGCAAGACCAAGGAA